TTACCTTTCTTGAGATTTTGTTATTTTTCTATAGTATCTCCAACATCTAACAAATTAAAATTTTTAATTATTGTGTATCAACATAATGAATTATCATATTCATTGTTTGTCTCTATTCAATCTATGTGGATAGATGTCTTTGTCATTTTTCTCAGTTGTTATTTCTAAAGAATCTAAAACAGTGCTAAAATTTGCACTGTTTTTGTTAATTTGCACCTAAAAATTGTATCAAACAAAGAAATGAGTAAACACAAACTTTTTATTAAATTTATGTAGAGAAGCGATGAGAAATGAGACAGATTACTAAAAGCAATAGAAATGAAAATAGCAATATACCATTTCTGATTTAGGATAAGTATGGCCCTAAATTATATTTAAGAGTGGAATTTTTTCTTTACTGGTAGCCATTAAACAGGTATATATCTGGTGTTCATGTTACCAAGAAGCCTAAAAGTAGCCAGATACAAGACTTTATACCAACTCATGATCATTAGTTTAATTTTGCACCAGGCACTTGTGTAGCTAAGCATTTCAAAAGAGAAATTAAAGTGTCTGGTGCTTGAATGATTCTTCCAATGGAACTAGATTATTTAGTTGTTTGTGTTCCATGTGACTTTCCAGCAAAATACCCTTTTGAAGGAATATATATGGTAAGTAAGAGGATAAGATGACTAATTTTGCAAAAGATGTTGTTACCCTGAATCATTTATCTAAATACTTGATAATGGACTCATGGAAAAATATAGCTATGGGACCAAGGATTAAATTTAAACCTGAGTTTCCCAGAGGTCAAACTGCCAATAGCAGAGACCAAAGCTGATACAGCTCATATGCTAGAGGAAGAAAACAGAAACCTGACAGCAAATTCTTATTTTTACACACACCCCACACTGCCTTCATGAAGGGGATTACCATTTGCACTGTCTTATTCAAAATATGCATTTGTTTTTGTTTCTCATGGTTCTTTTCCAGCAATTATTATATTTAGTTTACTATTTTCCTTAATTGCTGTCACAAAGAGCTAAATAAATTGATTCAGAGAAATAAACTCATTTTACATTATAAGAAATGAGGCAGAACTTTGATGAGTAATTTTCCTTATTTATGAGAAACATAGCATCTAGTTCAACAACTGGAGCTTTTAGAACATATATAGGATCACCAAGGATCTTTCTGATAAGAACATACATCATGATAAACTAGAATGGGACAAATTTGGCAGATAGAGTGAGTATCTATGCAAGGAAAAGCATGATTACTCAAGGAGTTGTAGGTCCCACAACCACCAAGCAAATTAACTGGCTAAGGAAAAAAACAGTTATATATTTATATTATTTTTTT